TCAAAAAAATAAAATTTCAAATATGCCACCTTAACGAAAATTTGGAAGGAAAAAAAACCTATTTGGCAATGGTTTAACGAAGGTGATGAAATTAATAGTTCTCATTATTTTGCAATATGTAATTTTTGTAGACAAAAATTTCCTGGTGAACCTTCGAAAATGTTTAAACATTTAATAGAAAAATGTATAGAAATTCATCAAGATGAGCGTAATAATATAAAAAATATTTTAGAAAATATTTCTCAAAATTCACAAATTCAAGCAAATAATGATAATAATAAGAATACAAATAATAAAATAGAATCTAAATTAAATTTTGATTTACATTTACCCTCTGAAGAAAAAACATTTATTTATCGTCAATTACTTAAAGCTTTAATATCAGCCAATATTTCATTATCATTTGTAGAAAATTCTAAAGTAATTAAAATATTTAATATATTAAATCCTAAATATAAGCTTTCATCTCAAAAATGGCTAAATACAGATATTTTAGATAATGTATATGAAAATATACAACTTGGCATTCAAAATTTTATGTCAGATGTAAAGTTTTTAATGTTATCTGGTGATGGATAGACTAATGTATCAAAAAATAATATTTTAAATTTTATAATAACAAATGAGAAGCATGAAAGCCAAATTTTAAAAATAGAAAACTACTCTAATCAACATTATACAGGGGATAATATATTTACATTATATAAAGAAATTGGAATGAATCTTGGAGATAAATGAATAGCATTTATTTCAGATAGTGGATCAGATTTTAAAAAAGCACAAAAACTTATATGTGAAGTAAGAAATTAAAAAAAGTCACTTTATCAAGTTTATTAATAATTAAATTGATGTTAATTAAAAATTTATTGAATATTATAATTAGGATCATGAAATTTGTGGTAAAATTTTAACAATTCTATATATGGCATATCAGACTAATTTATTAGTCAAAAAAAATAGTTGATTCACCATTTTTTATACTAATTATTAAGAAAATATTGATAATTATCAACCATTTTCAAAATTCAAATCTTGCATTATCTAAATTAAGAGAATTAACTAATAATGCAAATTTAAAATTCCAATATCCATGTATTACTCGTTGGACAACTTTTATAAAAGCATTTAAAATTTTATTATAAAATCAAACAAGTTTAAAGTAAATTTATAATAAATATAATTTTTAATAAATAATTAATATTAATTATTAATATATATATATATTTAAGTTATTGCACTTACACATTTATCATATTTGATTTTGTGTTCAAAAGAAAATAATAATATCATAATTAATACAATTAATGATAATGAATTCTAGACAAATCTTGAGTTATTTCATGAATTATTACAACCATATGATTATGTTATCAAAACTCTTAAAAATGAAAAGGCTATATTAGGTCATCATGGGAATGGCTTCGTGAAATTGTTAATAAAAGTTCATTTATTGATTTTCGAGATTCTTTAATATTAGAAATTGATAATCATTGGAAAAAAATTTACCATCCTGTCTATTTAATTACTTAGTTTTTACATCTATATCATCATAGTAAAGGATTAAATCCAATATAGCTTTTATATATTCAAGAAGCTGCATATAGATTATTTTGCATATTTATTCAAATTATAATCAAGATGAGTTTATTGATAAATGGTTGAATTATTCAAATCAAAAGGGTCTATTTTCCATATCATCTATTAAAAATTCAAGTTTTACAAAATATCCACTACAATATTAGCGTAATATACAAAATATAACTCCAAATTTAAGTGAATTTGCATATTGTCTTCTGTCAATTTCACCTAATTCTGCAACTTCTGAACGGGTATGGTCATTATTAGGTAATATACATACAGAATACCACAATCGATTATCACTATCACGAGTTGCAAAATTGGCACAAATTTCTTGGTATATAAGTCCAAAATTAAGAAGTATCTTAAACTTTATATGAAATGGAAGATAATATCTATAATGAAAACGATTATATTAATGATAGTAATGATATAGATGATTATATGAATAGTTTAAATCAAATGTCTGAAAAATTGATAGATGATATTCAATTATTTACTGATATAAATAGTGAAGAAACAATTCTAACACTTATAGATGTTTTTGATTCTAAAATTGTTAAAAAATCGCTAAAATCATATGTTTGCAAATTGTTTGTTTAATAAAAAATATTTTTTTACGAAATGTGATAAATTCAATTTTACTGCATCATAAATTATTAACGTATTATTAGTTAATAATTCTATCAATTGTTAATAAGTAATTATTAATTATTAATAATTTCAGGGGTCCTATCACTAAATACCACCATAATCCGTTTTCTCATTCTCATGTTCTATATTAACATAAAATTGCTGGTTTTTGTTTCATGATATATATTATAAAAAACCAAAAACCAAATTTCATTAAAAATAAAACAGCCTAAATGAGAATAATTACTTACTTGTAGCTGTGACAATTCATGCTCATTTTTACTAAGTTCAAAAAAAGGTTATAAATAAGAGCAAGAATAGTTCCATGCAACCACCACTTTTTAAAAAAAAACTAGAGTGACGATAACTACCACCATTCTTTTAATAAATGACAATTACCCATGAACAACATCTTCAATGTGATTTTGTTCTTGTTTTCTTTTATTATTTTTTGTAGACATTTTTTTTATAAAAAGAAAAAAACAATTAATTGATTGATCGACAAAATGTGTATGTATTATTTATGCAATTATTTTTTTTTTGTTAACGCAATTTTTTTTTTGAAAATAATTTATTTTTCAATGATGACAAAATGCGAGTCTCCTAAAGAAGACGTGTTAATAACTGATCAGAGGTAAATTTTTTTTATTTGCATTGGTATATCTTATTGGAATCAAAATGCAAAGTAGATCTTGTTGGGTAATTATAAGAATCTCATCAATTGGTATTTTGCTTTTCATAATCAATATTAATAATATTATTAATAATAAATAATTGCAAGAATGTCAAGGCAATACACTGTTGAAAAAGAGACATTTCAATATGCGAAGTTTGATTATCAGAAATTGGCAGACGTTGAAATGTACACATTACCTTAAACACTTTATACAGTTATTCTTATATATTTTCTCATAACAAAGGCTAATCACTAGTATTCCCAATGATATGATGATGCAACTGAATACCAGGAAGGGGATAGATCCTGGAGTTTACCAAGATTACATCAATTGTCAAAGTGTAACAATCTTTAATCTTGATCGATTGGTAAAATAATTCTAGTCGAAATTAGATAATTAATCTATATCATATTTGGTAATTAGAGCTCAGAATCAGGTCAGGTCAACCTGTGACCTGACCTGACCTGATCTGAAAAATCCAGATCGGGTAAACAAATTTTCAGGTCAACATCAGGTCAGGTCAAGCTTATAATCTGACCTGATAAAATTTGGGTCAACCAATCAAATTAAACGAAATAAAATATTTAAAAAAAATTTTTTTTTTGTCTATTTTTTTTTTAAACATCTTTAATTTTATTTAATATACTTTTTTTTATATTCTAATAAAGTTGTTTGTATAATTACTTTGTAATTTATTATAATCAAAAAGTTAAATTTTAAATT